GGGTATGATGGTACTGGCCTGGTCTATATAGTGACTTCCAGGCCAGAGGGGCTACAAAGTGAGATTCTGTCTCAAAAAAACAAAAATAAAATTATTAATAAATAAAGATTAAAAATAGAAGGAGAGCCCAGGTGGTGGTACCACACACCTTTAATCCCAGCACTTGGGAGGCAGAGGCAGGTGGATCTCTCTGAATTCGAGGCCAGCCTGATGTCATATATATATATATATATATATATATATATATATATATATATAAAGGTGTGGGTGTGGGTGTCAGGAATAGCTGGGTATGGTGACATATGCCTGCAACCCCAATACTCTGGGGGTCAGGCTGGCCTTAGACTATGAGGGAGGAAGATAAAGAACTGAGTTTGCACAGTGAGACCTTTTCTCCAAAAACCGAAATGGGTGGGGTAATCCCAACACTTGGGAGGAGGCAAGGGGATCAAAAAATTCAAAGCCAGCCTCAGCTGCATAGTGAGTCTATGGCCAGCCTGAGCTATGTGGAGGAGCTCTGTTTCTTTCTTTTTCTTTCTTTCTTTTTAAGATTTTTATTTACTATGTATACAGAAGAGGGCACAAGATCTCATTACAGATGGTTGTGAACCACCATGTGGTTGCTGGGAATTGAACTCAGGACCTCTGGAAGAGCAGTCAGTGCTCTTAACCTCTGAGCCATCCCTCCAGCCCCGGAAGAGCTCTGTTTCAAACGCTCTGTTCTCTCTCTCTCTCTCTCTCTCTCTCTCTCTCTCTCTCTAACACACACACACACACACACACACACCCCAAGCAGAAATAATTCTAGTATTCCAAAAGTAGAGGCAGGGTTAGTGAAATAGCTCAGCAGTGCTTACAAACCCTGGGCTTTAGGAAGATGCCCTCAGGCCTCTCAGACCATGGCTGGAGCTCCTCCCAGGCTCCCCAGTCCTGCCTGGGCTCACCCAGAGCCGTCTGGGTAGCCATCAAAGCTCTGCAGGAGCTTCTCCAGGAGCTGCTCACAGCCACCTTGTGGCTCCCTAAGGATTTGACATGCAGCTGACCGGGGGTGGGGGACACACACAGACGGATGGACGACTGTTTCCATAGGGCTTCCAGCTGCCAGTGAGCTGATTAGAAGTCAACTGCTGTGTTGTTCCTGTCAAGCCCTTGTGGCCTGAGGAATGGTCACTGCCTCCCTAGGCATCCTGCTTCTTCAGCTTCTGTTTCTTCTTCTCTCTCCCATCTTGGAATACAGACTGTGTGCTCTGGGAGGGTTCCGAGCCCTCTTAGTTTCCACACTGAGCACCCCAGGCTTGTCCCCTCACCCCATTCATCCCTGGGTCCTCAGTCAACACTCTGCAATCACTTCTTGTCCCCAGATGGTTTCCTCTGCTGCCCAGACTCTCACTTTAATGCTCTGACAGAGCCCTGGGCACACACGGGTCCTGAGAACCAATGGAAGGTCAAGCCTTGGGTGGGAGACAGCATGAGAGGGGGCTGGGCAACCCTGGGCTGGATGTAAAGAAACAGTCTCGTCTTCTGTCTACTCTCTGCCACTCCCTCCGAGGGTCCCTGCCTTCAGCCCTAAATGTCACGGCACACTGAAGCTGTCCCTGCCCTCATCCATCTAGAGGCCCCTGCAGGCTCTTCTCCAAGGAAAGCATGATTGTGACATGTTTCATCTGGGCCTCCGCTTGGTGGAGAACCTCCTCCAGATTCAACTTGCCAGTCCAACCCCTATGTCTTACTGACAATGTGCTGTCCATGGGAGTCCACCCTGGAGGTCCATGCTCCCTGGCTGCCCTCGCCCGATAAGGCGCCATCAGTAAGACCCACCCTGGGAATGATTCCTTCTGGCTGTACCCTCCTGGGCATCCTGCTCTCACCTTGACAAGAGGCAAGCTCTGCTCAGTTACAGTGGTTACTGTCATCAGTGACTGAAAATAAAACTCCTATTACCCTTTCCCAGAAATGGTTTATTAAAGCAAACTGCTTTCTCCAAGGACATGTGACACGGGTCAGTTCTGAGCTTGCCTCTGAAGTGTCCTAGCTTTTGTTTTTCCCTAGCTCTGAAATCAAAGTTCAACCAACTGCTCCTGACTTCTGGGTAGCAAAGGAACTCCCCAAGGAGCCTTCTTGAGGCTGAGCACAGAATTAGATGCAGGCGAAAGATGAAGGTGCAGGCCTGGAGCACTGGGTTAGGCCAAGACCAGACAGAGTGAAGTTCAAGAACCCCATGACATCACCCTCACCGCAAAGGATTTAAGAGGCCCCAGTGTTGATTGCGTAAATGGGCCCGGGCACGCAGAGCTCCACAGCTCTACCTCATCCTCATGATAACCCCTAGAGCGGCTCTTTTTGTCAGAAGAGTCATGGCCTTGGAGCTCAGAGCTGGAAGCCACAAAGGCTGGGGAGCTCCCTGAAAGAAGCGGGAGCTGGGCTGGGGAGGTCAGCGTCAAGGTGCACACTGCAGAGAGTTGGGGGGCTGCGGGGCAAGGCCAGGGAGGGGAGCTCACCCCGTCCTTTGCAGTGTACAGGTACAAAGCGGGTAAGTACTCCAGGAGGCCCAAAGATCTGGCTTGGACTGGATCACAGGGACCCTAGAGAAGATGGAGACGGCCTGTGACTCAGAAGGCCACACACAGAGGCCACTACAGTGACTGTCATCCAGGGCCCAGGAGCAGTATCCAGGTGCTGTTCATCCCAGAGCTTACATGGGAGAGTCCACCTCAGGATGCCGGGGTTCAGTCCCATTTACTTCTGTGTCCATGGCACACCGTGCAGGACCATATTGCTCTTGACGATTTCCTTCTCTGGATATGCCTGCCTTGGGCTCCAGCTGCCTAGAGTAACGCATGCAGCTGGCTGAGTCAGGACTCCGAGGGCAAGAGGGTGGGATGTGTGTGCCAGGCAGACATTCTATTCCTGAGCTGCACCGGTTTCTTTATTGTTGACTCCCTGAGCCGCCCATACTGTCCCTGAGCCGCCCATACTGTCCCTGAGCCACCCATACTGTCCCTGAGCTGCCCATACTGTCCCTGAGCTGCCCATACTGTCCCTGAGCTTGTGGTCTCTCTGCCTCCACCTCCCAAGTTGCTAGGGTTATGCACCCCTTATCGACACACATGCAGGAAGGATCTGGGCCTTTAGTTCTGACTGGAGACAGAGCAAGGAAGAGTCCCCTGTGGGGAGCTAAGCGTGATGCTTCCTCAACCCTGACAGGCAGAGGAGTATTGAGACCTCTGGACAGAAATGTACCACAAATGCCTCACGTGCTGTTGGTGTCCGGGAGAAGAGTATCCTAACCTTGCCCAGGAGTTAGGCCATAGAAAGTCTCCACAGCTTGAAGTAGGGCTCAGAGGAGGTGGGAGTCTGGCTGCTACGGAGCTCAAGTCAAAGCCATGTCAACCAAGCCTGCTTGGACTGAGTACTATGGCACTAACCTTCCCTGGGCCTCTGTTGACAAAGAAGCCTGTCTGCCACAGGAGTTCCTCGAGAACAAGAAGAGGCTACACCTAACTAATATATTATATTCCTTTAGCTTTTTGTTTGTTTTCTTGAGATAGGGTCTCATCTGTCCTAAGCCAGCCTTACACTCCTGCTAAGGCTGACATTGTGCTCCTGCTCCTTCTGCTTCTGTCCTCGCAAGTGGGTCATTACAGTTGTTCAGCACTGGCCCAGTCACTGTTCCATTGCTGTGAAGAGACACCATGACCAAGACAACCCTTACAAAAGAGAGCGTTTCAGTGGGGACTTGCTTACTGTTTCTGAGGTTTAGTCCATTAGCATCATGGTGGGGAGGGAGCGTGGCGGAAGGCATGGCGCTGGAGCCGTGGAGACGAGAGCTGCATCCTGACCTACAGGCTGAGAGAGAGACAGAGACAGGGCTGAGAAACTGGGCCTGGCCTGGGCTTTTGAAACCTCAGAGCCCACCCTAGTGACACACTTCCTCCAACAAGATCACACCTCCTGATCCTTCTAATCCTTTCAAAGAGTTCCACCCCCTAGTAACCCAGCATTCAAATATATGAGCCTATGGGGGTCATTCTCATTCAAACCACACAAACTCTGTGTATGTGTGTGTGTGTGTGTGTGTGTTAGTGAGAATTGAACACAAGATTTGTGTGTGGTAGGCAAGCACTCTATCAACCATCTTTTTTTTTTTTTTTTAATTTTTCTTTGTTTTTGGGTTTTTAGAGATAGGTGTCATGGGCCCAGGCTGGCCTGGAAATCTTGCAGCAAAGGCTGATCTTGAACTCCTGATAGATCTCGCTCTGTAGATCAGGCTGGACTTGACTCACAGAGATTTGCTTGGCTCTGCCTCCCAAGTGCTGGGGATTAAAGGCATGAGCCACTACTACCCGGCTGTTTCTTTTCTTTTCTTTTCTTTTCTTTTCTTTTCTTTTCTTTTCTTTTCTTTTCTTTTCTTTTCTTTTCTTTTCTTTCCTTTCCTTTCCTTTCCTTTCCTTTCTTTCTTTCTTTCTTTCTTTCTTCCTTTTTTTCTTTCTTTCATTCTTTTCCTTCTCCCTTCAAACTATTGGCCTGCAACGCTCTAGGTAATCCAGGATGGCCTCAAACTTTCCATCCTCCTGCTTCAGCTTCCTGAGTACTGAGATTAAAACTACATTTGGCTTTAGTGTTTTTAAGAAGTATTCAAGGACCAGCCATGGTGTCAAACTCTAGTACTCAGGCAGAAGCAAGCAGGTCTCTGACTCTGAGGCCAGCCTAGTCTGCTGTTAAGTTTCAAACTCAGGACAAACATCTGAGGTGTATCAAAGAGGACCTGGCTGGGTTTTCCCAGCATCCCTCAGTTACAGAGTACACATACCTCTTAGATAGCTGGCATACCCCCACTCTCTACCCTGAACTCTCCAGCCCCCTCCTCCAGAGGCTCTTCCCTATATAAACCAGACATTTTGGTTACCCACCCTTTGTTTGTATCTTTGGCCTCCCGGCTGCTGCACCTGGCTCCCCTCTCTCCCTTCTCTCTTCCCCTCCCCCCTCCCACATGGCCCAGCTCAGTCTGGTCATGTCCACTCTGGACTCTCCCAGACGTCCCTGCCTCTACCTACGCTCTCCCTTTTATCTACAATAAGTTTTCTGCTCCACCACCCCTAGGAGCGGTCCTGTCCTTTCTTTACCTTTTTATTTATTGTCTTCATCCATCTGCATAGAGTTGTAGGCCAGTAAGGGCAACAGAGTGAGTCAGGGTTTCCAATTAAAAAAAAGTATTTAACCAGGTGGTGGTGGATCACACCTTTAATTCCAGTACTCAGGAGGTAGAGGCAGGCAGATCTCTGAGTTCAAGGCCAGCCTGGTCTACAGTGAGTTCTAGGACAGCCCTGTATGGAAAAACACGACAAAGAAGTATTTAAGGGGGCTGGAGAGATGGCTCAGAGGTTAAGAGCACTGGCTGTTCTTCCAGAGGTCCTGAGTTCAATTCCCAGCAACTATATGGTGGCTCACAACCATCTGTAATGAGATCTGGCTCCCTCTTCTGGCCTGCAGACAGAACACTCACTGTATACATAATAAATAAATAAATCTTTAAAAAGAAGAAGAAGAAGAAGAAGAAGAAGAAGAAGAAGAAGAAGAAGAAGAAGAAGAAGAAGAAGAAGAAGAAGAAGAAGAAGAATAATTATTATTTAAGGGCCAGCAAGATGGTTGAGTGGGTAAGAGCATTTATTGATAAACCTGACAAGCCAAGTTTGATCCCGTGGACCCAGATAATGGAAGAAGTGACTCTGACTTTCAGAAAGCTGTCCTCTGTCCTGGACACACACAGGCCATGGTATTCAGGAATATACACGTGCAACACACACACACACACACACACACACACACACACACACACACACACTGTAT